GGTCAGGAGAGGTTTGCCACGTCATGTAGTCACCTCCGGGGCAGGCGGGGATCAAACTCATGCTGAAATGGCTTTAGCTTCTCAGTGTTGTGCTTTAACCCGCTGCGCCACCAGGGAAGGCCCATTGTTAAATATTTTAACAAGGATCCCAAATTAATCTTATGATGAGATAAGTTTGGCAAACATTAAACATTAGAGTTTCTAGTCCCCATTCACCCCTGCACCATCATTGTAGTCCCTGGTGCTCTTCCCACCTCATTTTGATCCCTCTCACTCTCCTCCCCTACAAAATGTCTCTGATTTATAGTTGTCTGTTTATTTTTTCTTTGTTTTGTTGTGGGTGTGTTTGTCATTGTTGTTGTTGTTATTTTTTTCACTTATCTCCTGTATTACTCCCCTAACTGAAACCATTGTTTTCTTTCTTTTTCTTTCTGATTTAACAAATACTAAATATTTTAAAATTCCATTGATTCAACTATCTAAGAACAATCAGAGTTAATGATGAAAATACTGATCCTTATATGAAACAGAAAACTTTGCAGAGAGAAAACTAGAAAACAGACTGAATCATGTTCACCTCTTACTAACAACTCACCATTAGCATCATTGTAGATTTTCTTGAGATCATATTATAAAAGAGTTATTCCTCTCCACCAGACATGTATCATTTTGTCCACTCTAGGTTCACCTAGAGATTCTAGTTGAGACCCAACCCCCTTTTCCAGTAGAATTTTTAACCTAAAGGAGAAATAAAACAAATTTCTATTTAATAATAAATTTAGGGTGTGTGTGTTTTGTTTGTCTTTAGTACCTACTTTGGGATTTAATATCAAAACCAACTGTCTCCTACTGATTATTCTTAATTTGGGAGCTGAAACGTGGAAGTTATTTTGAATGAGGTCTGTCAGAAACAGCTGAATAAATTCTAGGAAGGTAATTCCTGTCCCAAAATATTTCTCTAATTCCCAGTGTCTTAAATTCCAGATTTAAAGATACCTTCACATGGATTACAAAACTCAGATTAAAATCTGGATCAATTAAGTCCTATTAGATATAAAAATGCCTAAATATATAATTCCCTAGAACAATATCACAATTTAAACCTCTTTTTAAACCCTATCCAACAGATAACTGTAAACAATTTTCTCCACTCAAAGAAGACAAAGATTCTCTCTGCATAATAAAACATGCAATAAGCAAAATGTTACAGTTTGCCAAAAGGGCCATGGGAGGATCTAGACTACCAGAAGAAAGGAAAGCCCAAAGGGTGCAGGGGTACTGCAATGGATATAGAGCATTTCCATACCCAATCCCAGGAAGCTAGCTCTTCACAACTCTGCCATCCAAAATCAATTGTGAAAGCAGAACATTCTTTAATTTCTAAATTTACACACAGTCCTCCTAAGATCATTTAACACATTTAGTAGTGACAAAATTTAAGAATTCTTGTCCTGTGCCAGGCTCAAATGGTGCTGAATTCTTCCAGAAGGTTCTCCAGTACCCCCTAGTGGCAGTTTTGTGATCCTATAATGGGTGGGAAAATTAACCATTCTTAGCACTTTTCCAGCAATGGGAAGAACCTGCTTTGCATCCTCTCTTTGTTGTCACAAAACTCCTACCATGGAAGTATTATGATAAATCCTCATTTAAATCTAAAGAGGAAACTGAGGTTTAGGCTAAATAAGTTGTTCAAGGAAACTAAATGGTAGATATAACATGGGATGAAGTTCTGTAAGATTGCTGGGCCTCAAACATCACCTTACTGAAGTATTTAAGAGAAAAGCATAATTTTTTTCTGCAGTCACTAACCTTTTTTATTTCCCTATTGTTCTTTATACTGGTATTCACAGGGAAGTTGCCATAGATATATGCTTTTGTTTCTTTTTTAACATTTCAACATAAATATATCTTTTCCCAATACCTATACTCAGCTACTTTAGCTCACTTTCATAAAACAGTCTCTTCATCTTGATTTTCTTCTTCTCTACTTACTCTGAAATAACACTTTCTCTCTTCATACATGACTGCTGAAGATCTAACATTTCAAGTTAATCTATTTTAGCAACATAAACTTTTAGGGTCAAAGAAGTGTTTGAAACTACTTTAGAGGGTGAGTCAGACACAATTACCACCCTCTGATTAAAAGAGGGGTGGGAAGAGCACAGAGACTATGGTGATGGTGTGCTGGTGACTTGGTGGTGGGAATTTTACAGAGACTACATCTGAGAAGAGAAATCAAACATTGTAGAAAAATGAACAATGATATAAAATATATATTTAAAAAAAAAACAGCTACCAACCCTCAGACAGTTTATAACAATTGGTCTGATAATGGCCCACTGATTTGTGCTTTATTTGTTGTGAAACCTACACCTAGTAAAACCACTTGATGTTGTGTTAGTTATCTGATTATTTGCAGATGATTATCTCATTTTATCGTTACAATTCTGTTGCACATTAGTTATGATTAATTCCAACATAAAGGTGAGAAAGCCAAGGTTAAGTTGTTTGCCCATAGTGGTTAATAAGGGGTAGATGATGGTTCTTGGAACGAGCAATACGGAAATTAAATCTACATGGGTTTTCCATCTGCTTCACCTCATATGACTCAAATGATTTATGATGAATTTGGGATCAATTCAAAGGATCCCTTGATCTTTTTCATGTGAAGCACTGGTAATCCAGCTCACTATTGTCCTTACCCTTGTAAAACTGATGATTTTTACTTCAATTTATAGGAATTTATATTTGTGCATATTTAATATTATTTAGTTGGTTTTTATCTTTGGTCAGAAACGTATCTGAAATTTCAATCTTCCATCAAGTCTGCTGTGCTTCCCTACTTCGGGTATATGCAAATTTTATCATTTATTAGAATGTTGACAATAGGAAGATTAAAGTGTGAAGCAGGCACCATGGGTATTATCAAATGGGATTTCCCAAGTGGTGTTGTGTCCACATTGACTTAAAACATGTACTCCTATTTTTTTATACCTCACAACCTCTCCTGTTTTTTAACTGGCATGTTCTTTATAACAGCACATTCTGTTCACTGAAATGTTAACATTATACAGAACTAGCTTAGAACAAAACAATTTCCTTTCCAGAAGAGATAACTGCCTTCCCCTTGTTTGATAAAATTATCCAGAGAATCTATCACAACATAACTCTATAAAACTTAGGTTTTAGCACTCTATTGTCCCTTAAAGGGAACTAAATTTAACAAGTTAAATATTTGTAACTTTCCGACCAATCAAATATAAAATTTCATAGTCCTTAAGCCTCTTTGCCAGCAGTTTAAGATATACTTAGTTCATTATCCATATTTAAAAATATAATAATGTTTTCATGTACAGAACAGGATAAAGTTTATAGCATGCTATTAGCTAATAGCAAAACCAGTTGCATATTTTCCTCATGCTACTGAATGTCCCTTTTAGTATCATTAAACCCTATTTGTAGTGACAGAAAAAATGCTCTTATTATAGAATATTACACAGTCTTTCATTCACTCAACAAACATATTACTGTTTGTTGACCATGCACCAGGCATATACTAGGTGTGAAAAATCTAGAAATGCACAGTTTGGGCTGTCAAATCCATGTATAGTTCAAGAGGGCAAAAACTAAAGGAACTTCCTGCCAGAGAGCAATTGAAAGCTGTGTGGAGGTTTCTCAACCTGCTAAAAATGGAGCTTCTCTATGATCCAGCAATTCCACTCCTATGAATCTACCCTAAGGATACAAAAACACTGATTCAAAAAGACACCTGTACTCCATGTTTATTGCTGCTTTACTTACAATAGGAAAGACATGGTATCAACTCAAATGCTCAAAAGTAGATGACTGGATTAAAAAGATGTGGTACATATACACAATGGAATTTTATTCAGCAACCAAAAAAGATACTCTCATGCCTTTTGAAGTAACATGAATGGAGCTGGAAAAGATCATGCTTAGTGAAATAAGCCAGAAAGAAAAAGAAAAATACCAGGCGGTTTCACTCAGCAGGAGCATAAAGGATCAGGGGGAAAAAATAATAATAATGAACAACTATATACCTGAGACATTTTATGGGGGTAGAATGGGGAATGGGATCAAAAATGGGGGTGGGTGGGAGTGCACAGGACTATGATGACAGCACACAGGTGATTTGGTGATGGGAAACCCATGGGGATTATTACAACTGAGATGGAAAAATGCACAAAATGATGTAAAAATAAACTATTATATTATTTTTAAAAGTACCTATATATATTTAATTAAACAAAGTATTTAATTAAAAGCAAGTAGGCGACCTCTGAGTCAGGGAATTTACTAGAAATCTCTGCTAGTGCTCAAGGCTAGAATCCTAGAGAGGTACCAGTCAGGTGAGAGATGCCAGAATCCTGCAACTCCTTAACAAAGTTGATAACTCCCATGTTCATCATGCATAGAACCAGCTAGAAAGCACTCCTGAAATACAGATGTCTGCACCCAAATCAGACCTACTTAGACCTTATAATTTTTAAAAGTCCCATCCAAATTCTTCTAATAAAACTAATAAGAAAGTAAGAAGTTTCAACCATATTTATTTCAAGTAGGTCAGCCAGAAAGAGTGAAAAGATAGCATGATAGGAAATAAAGAAACACAACTTTTTTTTCAGCTAACTAGGCATGAGAACAAAAAATTGATTGATAGAGGTTAAAATAATGATATGTCATAATGAGAAAGATTAACTGTAAAAGTTCTTATCATTTACAATTCTAATAAGCGTATTTTTTTTGCTTTATAAGTTTGTTTTCTCAAATAGATTGAATTTTAGCTTTACAATCTTCTATATACTTAGTTTTATATCTCTTTTACTTTTGTAGAATCAAAGATAAACTGCAATCTAACACCGAATCAAAAGATCATGAATTCTAAATCCGTCTGAACTAACTTTGTTTTGCTGCAGTTTTCTGACACTCAGAAAGATTGATCTTAAATAAGTGAATTGTAGCAAGTTCCAGCTCCTAGGAAATTCAGATTATCTATATTTTGTGCTTAATATATATTTTTTAGGCAGGACTTATATTTTAAATAAATATCTGAGCTGATTTCATCTGTTTTGAAAACTATTTCCTTCTTCTGTTTTGGTTAAGGATAAAGTCTCTTGTCTCTTCCTGTCTCTACTCTCATATCCCCAAATCCTAAATACATTTTAATTTCAAGTAATAATAAATTCCAGGCAGGCAGAAATAGTGTGTCTTGTTTGCATCTTAATCCTAACCTTACAGTCTGGGCAGGAGAAAAGGTTGATAGATAGTTGATATATATTTGTTTATTAAATCAGTAATAATCACCTTCTTTTGATAGCTCCAGGCTAACTCAACTAGTTTATCCAGATTTGTCTAGATACTTTGACATTTACTTTAGACAACATAAAAAGAAACTCATATAAAGTGTTCATCTGCTGACCACTGATGAATTCGACAATAAAGATTATTACCTGAACTTCAAGAAAAAAAATAATGTTACCATCAACAGATGGCAAAATTTATAAATAAAACCCTAAAAGGAGAGTATTAATCTGCTCTGAAATTACTGTAGGGGCTCAGACATCAGGACCAGTTTTGCTATTCAAAAGTCTCTTTAAAATTAACCTAACAGAGAAGCCAACCACATTTTTAACTCAATTTATTGGCGCTTGAAAAAAAAAAAACAAAACTATTATGTTGGCTACTGTATAAATCAACCTGAGTTAAGTTGTTTCAAAACAATGACTGGTTTAGTAAGATGAACTTTGGTGGATTGTAATCATAGTAATGGGGTCAGACATATACCTAACTTTTATTTAGAGCCAGGCATTGTGCTAAATGCTTTATCAAATGTCATTAAAACCTGGTAATACTTGTTTGCTGTTGGAATTATTAATGAACCCCACTCACATATGAAGAAACTGGTTTATGTAATTTGCCAGGGTTATAAAGTCAGTGATAGGTGGTAGAATTAACATCTCAACCGACTCTGCTGTTTTCATATTTAACTTTACTCTGCACTACTCATAAAGTTATATCATCTTGGGGGAAAAATAGTATTCCTTTGCTTAGTGAAATATTTCACACGTTGAAAACTTGGTTAGATAAGAAATTCAGACATTCAATTTTACCAAGGACATTGTATTCGATCATTCAGAAACATACAGAAGTAGTTAACATATCACTTTGTCTAACATTATGCAATCTGAAGCTAGTATTTGAAAATAAAAATAACATCATTTATGCATCAGAGTTCAGATCATTCAGTTTGTCTAACATTAAGCAATTTGAAGCTAGTATTTGAAAATAAAAATAACATTGTTTATGCATCAGAGTTCAAATCATTGTATACTTGTGTATAAGAAAAAAGCCATGTCATCATCTAATACAATGCAGTCTCTACTTACATAAAACTAAATAATAGCACCACATCAAACTCATCACCTAGAAAGCTGTTTGCATATACTAATCATACTAGCTTTTACCAAATCACTTGAAATTATGATGATATTATCATATGAGCCTTGATTCTGTATTAGAACAGTTAAATAAATTACTCATTAAAAACAGCATTTGATTCCTGGCATGAGTGGAAGAAAGAAAGGAGGGAGGGAGGGAAGGAGGACGGAAGGGATAGATAGTAGATGTGTGAATGAATGATAAAGAAAGAAAAGGAATATATGAAGAAAGAGAATTTTATGCACTTAGACCAACTTAGCAAGGATTCTATAGATTTCTCCTCGATAACGCGATATGAGAATATACATCATTTTAGCTTTGATGACTCATAATGGTATTGATAATCTCTGCAATTAGGACATAGAAAAGATAATACATATTAAGAGTTTTGCTGATAAAAGAGGTAAGATTCTAATTTACTCCTTTTAATTATTTGAAATCAAATATATTCTCTTTATAGAAAACTCACGTATGATAACATATATTGGCATCAGCTATTTTGGAGTCAGAGTAGCTACCAGAAAAGTCTTTTTTATTCTGTAATGAACAGTGGGCTCTAATTAATAGTTTTTGCTGAAACCTAAAACTTCCTCAATAACAGGAGAGAGCTGACACTAATTGTGATCTCCCCTCCTGTCACTGATTTGCAGACTGAAGCTCAAGGGCAGTGACTGTTGCAGACCAACAGTCTGAAAGAAATGAATTTAATCCTGTGTCTACCTCCAAACACAGGTTCATCCTGCTAATAAAGCTACCTCTTTCTGTGTCACCAAAAACCTAAGGAGTCTTGATATAAATATTTGGCAGAAAAGTAGTGATTTTATTTGACTAATGATGAGAAAACATCATACACTCTTGCTAAGCCCCATCAGATAAGGTGATGGAGTATATACACCTCATCACCCTAACATTTCAGACTTACTACAGTGATGAAAAAGTATCATATCATCTCACCCAGGGCTTTGACAACCACGGCATTTTTTTTTCAAATACATGATTATCATTATTTTATTTGTCCTTTAGGAAAATGTTGAAGATGGCCGAGCAAGTATCTATCAATCTGTCATTACTAATACCAGCAAAGAGATGTCCTGTTTCAGTGATTTCCCAATGCCTGAAGATTTTCCAAACTTCCTACATAATTCTAAGCTCCTGGAATATTTCAGGATTTTTGCCAAAAAGTTTGATCTTCTAAAGTACATTCAATTCCAGGTATTGTATTGGGGAGGGGCAAAAAGGTGGAGAATATTTTTCCATATATGTTCAGCCTACATTTAAATAAAGAAGATATTCCAGTATGAAGTAAATTGTGAATAAAATAAAACATTCCAACCTAATTCTTTGCTGAAAAATAGAGCATGAAAGAAAACTCCAAAAGTTTTATCATTACACCTGATATTATGGATTTTTTCTATTAACAAAACAGTAAAATTGTCAGCTAAAATCAAAGGTTTGAATTAGATGATATTGATGGTGGAATTACAGTTGAAGCTGGTATTATAATTATAATAAAAATTATAACTATTGCTCTGCTATAGATATAGCTAATATCTATAACTACTGAAGACTCCAAGTCTCATATCCCTTAAAACAATATATGAAAAAAAAAATCAGACTGTTATTTTATTTTCTTAACTTTTCTGTAGAAATAGAATTTTTTTAAAAGATTTGGAGTTTTTTTTATTTTGGGTTTTTTTTTATTTATTTATGCATACAGCACCTTAGGGAGTGTGGGGGGTTGATTAAACAGACTCTCTAGAAAAGGTGTGGAGAGCAGAGAGCAGAACAGGCAGAACTACTGAACACACTGAGGAGAGAAGTGGAAAAGACAGGAGAGGTCATGTGTGGCAGCTCTTTGGCCAGGGATCAAATTTAAGCTGCAGTGGCTGGCAATAGCTTCATAGTACTGAGACGTAACCCCTTGCACCATCAGGGAGGCCCTGGAATTTCTTTTTTTAATGTGCAAAATAAACTCAGGGCACTCACATCCCAGAAGTCTGTGGTAACTGTTTTGCTAATTATGTTTTTTTTTTTTCCAGGATATTCTGTAGCAACATAAAGATAGCAGATCATTCTGAAATACTATTAGAACTACTGTTCTTGTGTTTCCTCAAGAACAATAAATCAACAAGATAAAAATAACATTCTCAAGACAGGCTGAATTTTTGCCAATAACCTACAACCTAAGAACAAATAATTATACTTAGGAAGTAAACCTATATTGTATCTCTGAATAAGTAAATATCAGTAAAGCTCATTATTTAACACATTTCATTTTCTCAATTTAGTGTTTAATTTTGGATATTTCTTTTTAGTTTGGCTATAATTTTAGTTTTGTATATTATTATTTATGTTATTTTAATGTGTGGTTGGTGATTCAGATGGAAATAAATATTTATAATATTATTTCTTAAATATTTACTTATGCATACAAGAACTGGGTTGTAGGCCAGAGTTGTAGGGGGAGGTGAGAGGATTCACCAGAGACAGAGTGGGGATCAGAACTGGCAGATTGAATGAAATATGCTGCTGAGGGAAGCAGTGTGCAAGAGGTCTGCTGTGCCATGTGGGTCAGCTCCCTGGCCAGGGATTAAACTCATGCTGCAGTGGCTGTTAATAGCTTCATAGTGCTGAGACTTAATCCCATGTACAACCAGGGAGACCCTAAAAACATTAAAATTTTTTCAGTTTCATGTAACGAGACTTTTCTCCAATACTTGGTAATATCTATCACGTAAATGACAGCTTTTTTATACCAGAAGCTTTTATAGTCTTTGACCACTTCACTAACATTTATTGTGAGTGATTAAAATTATCTGTTATTTTAAATATCATGTCTAAGTTGCAAGGAAGCTTTTTCTCTTATTTATTGTACTAGTGCTGTTATTCTTTTCTGGAGGTTGCTATAGAATTAAGAAGTGGTATTTCCATGTATTGGTCTTTAGCTCATATAAATATTAGATGTCAGGACTCAACTCAAACTTTAAGAGCATCTGTTTTGTTTCTCAAAATTTTCCAAATGACACCAAAGGTCCAATCCAACCAATAAAACCACTTTATGCAATTTGTTAGCTATTGAGGTCACATTGGCTTACAATACTATTTACAATTTAGAACCCTTCAAAATGTGTGACCACACCACACTCACCACCCATTCACCCACAGCCCTTCACCGCAATTCACTGGGTCACCTCCCCACTTTCTTTCTCTGGTAGCCTACATCCTACAGTCAGATTGTTGAGGTTTAGTCTTGTCTGGCCTTCTGTTTTGTTTCCACATCTAAGTGACACCATCCAGTATTTTCTTTTTCCTTCTGAATTATTTCTCTTAGCATTATCGCCTCCACTGACACCCATACTGTTGTATATGGTAAACTGCAACAGTATGGGTGTCAGTGGAGGCGATAATGCTAAGAGAAATAATAATTTTTTTAATATCTGCATAGTATCCATCACATATCAACATGCCATGAAGGGTAGTGGTTAGTATTTATTATTATTATTATTATTATGAAAGATTTATTTATTTATGTATACAAAAGCTGGGGTGTAGGTCAGAGGTGCAGGGAGTGGGGGAGGGGGTAAGACAGAGTAGGGAGCAGAACAGGTGGACTGACCGCAATACATTGCTGAGGGGAACAGTGAGTGAGACAGACGAGGTCTGCTGTGCCATATGGGTCAGTTCCTTTGCTGGGGAGTGAACTCCTGCTGCAGTAGCTAGTGATAGCTTCATAGTACTGAGAGTTAACCCCTTGTGCCATCAGGGAGGCCCTAGCATTCATTATTTTGAAAACAGAGAACATCATTTTAGCAATACAGTTCATGATCTTATTTGGATGAAATAATTTATTGGTTCATTGATCTGTATAGTTTACTGTCTGGAGTCCTATTAATTTTAAAAAGTATACATAGGAATGGACGCCTGATGTACTAAAGCAACAAACTCAAATAATAACAAAGCTTTTCAACCATTCAGAGGAATGACATGCTAGTTGGAGTGAACCCAAAATGTTCTCAGTAAATACTGGATGTGTGATCAGTGGAATGACAGACATGTGTTTGTATCTAGCCCAAACCTTCCTTTCTTTGTCTTTCTCAAAGGTCTTGTTCAGCCCTACTGGTCTCCTACTGAGTCAGGCCTCTTGCACAACCAGCAGATCTTTGGTAGCTGCCAAAGAAGAACAAGAGGGCCACACTTAGTAATCTGCCTGGGAGGCTTGAAATGGATTCAAATGGAAGCTAAATGGAGTCCTAAGTTGCATCTATCTGCCCCTTCCCAGGGCTGGATATTACCCCTTTGTTCAAAGTAATGCTCAATAATGGTTTCTGTGTGTTTGTTCAAGACAACGGTGCTAAGTGTGAAAAAATGCCCAGATTTTGTATCGTCTGGCCAATGGGAGGTTATCACCGAGAGCAGTGGCAAGGAACAGAGAGCCATCTTTGATGCGGTTATGGTTTGCAGTGGACACCACATCCTCCCTCATATCCCATTGGAGTCATTTCCAGGTGAGGTCTGAGAGGATTCCAGCATATCAAACTAGGTGTCCTGATACTTTATGTGCAGTTGGAATTGATAGGCAGAATAAGCTGTGCAGCTGGACATAATATTAAGATCAGGATAGCACCAGAAAGATGAAAGACTCCCAACACCACCTCTGTTCTATTGCCCTCTCTGGCTCTTCATCCATAAAGTATTTGACTAACTTCCTCTGGAGTCATTAAATCTTATCTAGAACTTCAGAGAATCTTCATCCAAATTGGTTCTCTGGTGGAGAGGGTCTGTTATCCATGTCCTGAGCTCAGTCTTTGCCTTCACCTGACTGTTGTATCTGTGGAGCTTTTCCAAAAGTCATTTCTATGGGCAGGGAAGAGTTCCTGGAAATAAGTGCTCCTACAAAACAGTGATGGCGGTAGGAGCAAGCAAGGAAGGCCAGCAATGAATCCTACTGCCATCTGTCCTGGTACCTCCCAAGCCCTTTGTCAGAGTGTCCTTCCTTTCCAAGGACCTCAGGAAATTATCTAATGCATGGTTTCCAGGCCAGGCCTCACACTGGAACCACTCGTGGAGCTTCTACAGCCAGAAACACTTCCAAAGAGTTAACTGATATGAGTAGTGATTTTACTATGAAGCCAGCATGGAAACTTACTGATCTAAAGAAGCAGTTCTCAGACAGCATCACCTGGAGTGCTCCAACTTGATAAATCTTCTAACTCAGTAGATCTAGCTTGAGACTGAAAATTTGCATTTCTAACAAGGTTCCAGGTGGTGCTAATGCTGTAGTCTAAGTGATCACATGTTAAAAACTATGATCTCAAGGTTCTTTCAAGCAGTCCACCCTCAAAACAGATATTCCAAGTCATGAATTCCTGAAAAGAAATAGGAAAAATATTTGTTTTCAGAGAGGCTTTCCCAGTAAGTTGCTGACTTAGAGCAATGTGGAAACTATCCTTCAATTTCTATGTCCCTGTTTTTTAGCTTAATATAGTTTTTGTTTGCTTTTGCAAAATAATAATAAATAGCATTCTAACTATGATACAATTATAATAAAAGCATTTCATGTTTAAGCAACATTTAAATGTATGCCATATGATATTGAGACATCACTGTACAGTCCCAAATAGAATATGGTTAGCCAGAGGTCAGCATCTCATGAAAACCATTTATTCTTAATAAATATATAAGCGGCAGCTTCTGGAACTAACTCCTTTGGTTCTGTAGCGTATGCTTAACTACCTTCTCTTTCATGCTTTATACTTTAAGTTTGAAATTAGTTTTATTATTGTAACCCCCTAAAAAGGAGGAAAGGGTAAACAAATGATTGACCCCAAAAAGGGAAAGCTGACAACACGATTCTGTTGAAATTAATATAGTTCATGGGCTTCTCTCTTCTTTCCCCTGAAGGTATTGAGAGATTCAAAGGCCAGTACTTTCATAGTCGTCAATACAAGCATCCAGAAGGATTTGAAGGGAAACACATCCTGGTGATTGGAATAGGAAACTCGGCCTCAGATATTTCCGTCGAGCTGAGTAAGAAGGCAGCTCAGGTAGGGTGTTCTCGGCTGACCTTGTACTGTTGTGGAGAAGAAAGGGGAAAGGCATTTCAGAAAAAGTCACTAGTATTTTCCAGCCTCCTCTACTCATAATTTGCCAATCAGTTGGTTGGCTGGTTTCTTGGTTGGCTGATTACCTGGTTGCTTGGCTGGCTGACTGGCTGGTTGGTTGGTTGGTTGGTTGGTTGGTCAGTTGGTTGGCTAGTGAGTTGATTGACTGGTTGACCAGTATAGTATTACAGAAAACCAGAAGTCAAGAAACCAGAGTTTACCACTCAGTACAACCACTAATAAGCCATATAACATAAGACATTTCACTTCTCTTGGTGATGGGTGATGGGTCCCTCATTTGTTTTTTGTTTTTGTTTTTCGTTTATTAATTTTATAATAGTTCATTTTTACATATTTTTGTGCATTTTTCCATCTCAGTTGCAATCCCCTTGGGTTTCCCATCACAAATCACCCATGTGTCATCACCATAGTCCAGTGCATTTCCCTCCCCCCACTGTTTTTGATCCCATTCCCCACTCCACCCTATATACCCTCATTTGTTTTAACTGAGATGTTTGGACCAGATGACTTTCAGCACTGAGGGCTGTTTCTATCCTGGGGGCTTAATGATAAGGTGAACTGTTCATATTTTAGAAATTTAGTGTATGTTTGAATTCTCTTTGAAATGTAAATAATCCTCATTCACCCAAGACCACGAAAAGAAAGATTAAATAGGAAGATTAAATAAATAGAGACCCAACCAAAAAGATCATAGCTATTTAGGTGTTCCTGTGACCTTCCAACCACTATCATCTTTGTACCCGCTCAAGAATGACACTGTTGAGCTGCCAAAGAATCAAAGATTATAAGATATAGATAATGCTGATAGTGATAGTTGGGAAGAACTGAAAATAAATTCCCTCTTGAAGAACAGACCTAGGTAAATATGGGAAAATAGCTAAGGGTCATCTCCCCAAAGCATTGTCTCTCCACGGAGGCTGGACCCAGGAGCCCTCACACTCTTATACCAGCCTTCTTAGCTCTGTAACTTGTGGCTACACAGCTTACAATAGTACATCCACAACTGCAAACTGTCCTTCCCTGAGTCTCACATATTCAGGACTTAAGAGGCCCAATAATAAAAGTGCTAAAAAAAAAAAAGCATAATTTCTCCTAATCAGGTTAATGAAAAGGTTACAGTGCCAGTGTCACTAATCAGCACCAACCTAGACACAGAGCAGGTCAAAGAGAGGTTTACTGGACCCAAGAGTTTGCACAACCATTTTTCATAGCTTGACAACCTCAGTGTGAAGAACAAATGAGGGAGCAGAATCAAGAAGAGAAAACCCCAGTTATGTCTCTATTTATTGGGAAATAGCTGTTAAGCATGAGGAAGAGAGGTTAGTAGAGAAATTGAAAGGAGCTACCTATAATCCCATACTAGACCACTATGTGTTGTCAGGATTTGGATTTTGAAAAGGTGCTCCAAAGATATCAAGTTTTTGGTTTTTTTTTTAAAGATTTATTTATTTGTATATACAGAACTGGGGTACAGGCCAGAGGCTCAGGGGTGGTGAGAGGCTTCACCAGAGACAGAGTGGGGAGCAGAACAGGCAGATCGACGAAGTACACTGCTGAGGGGAGCAGCGGGCAGGTCAGGAGAGGTCTGCCACACCATGTGGGCTCCTCTGGGGCAGGCGAGAATCGAACTCATGCAGAAGTGGCTTTAGCATCTCAGTGTGGTGCTTTAACCCGCTGAGCTACCAGGGAGGGCCGATATCAAGTTTTAAAGCACAAGAGCTAATTCCTTATATACATTTTATCATGTAATAAATCTGTCTATGGAGTCACTCACCACCATAGCTGCATTTGCGTGCCTTACATTCCCTTAGATAATCTTTTAAACATTATCTCTTTAATGTCAATTAGGGTGATTGCATAAATTATAATTATGAAAATCATTTTTAAGAAAATCTTATATATATATATATGGCAAAACAAGGTGCATCTGCAAAGCCCAGGATAACAATCTAAGCGTACCTTACTCCTGAGTTTGTCCTGACCCAGTTAAAGGATGTTCACTTCATAAGTATAAAGCAGGCTCTACCATAGTCCAAAAGCATTATTCAAGACACTAAGGAGTAAAGTCATCCACATCTACCCCAACAAAAACCAGACCTCTGTCCCTTGGTTTGAAGTATTCATGTCAGTGATAGTCTCAGCCTAAATCTTCAGATATATCATGCCAACTGGTGGATCTAGCCAGGACAGACACCCTTCCTGAAGGGATGGTCGCTGTAGATTCCTCCCTCCATGGATGATGCCCTAATTTTAACTGCATTCCTTTTTTCTTATCAGGTGTTTATCAGCACCAAACAGGGTTCCTGGGTCATGAGTCGTATCTCAGAAGATGGCTACCCCTGGGACATGATATTTCACACCCGTTTTAGCTCCATGCTCCGAAATGTCCTGCCACGAGCAGTTCTGAAATGGATGATGGAACAACAGATGAATCGGTGGTTCAGCCATGAAAATTATGGTCTTGAGCCCCAAAATAAGTAGGGTTATTTTGACTTTTTATGGTACATTCATTAATCAGTAAAATTGTCAAGCGTGGCCTCTCTTTGCAAAGAATCAAGTGGCTACCATGGTAGTCAAAGCTGCAACCTAATAGTTTGAGTATCAGATAGGCTCTGGAGTTTGCAGTCCAAGTTTGTTGTGTATACCTTTTAAGAGTAAATGCTAGAGATAATTAAGTCATAATGCTATTATCTCCTCCAGAAAACAGACCTGGGATCATAGAGAGAAATTCCTAGTACCAAGAGGTATTCAACATTGGAGGCCACTTTAAGAGGCGTGTAGTGGGAAATCTCCCAAATTTTCATCTGATAATTTGTGCTTGTGAACTCTACATCATGAATGTTTTCCCCTTTTGAGAACATACTCACTGTTTCTTAGCCAAAAACCAACTCTCTGTTGATCTCAACAGTACACATCATTGAATTTATAAACACAGGCAAACACTGGATGTTTATTTTTTTCTTTAGTTGATGACAGTCTTCCTCCCTTCAAAAAAAAAAAATGGAATCTTTCAACAAATGCCATGTAACAGCAAAATTCTAAGGTCTGGTATATATAACACATTGTCCTATTTTTTTTTAATGGTGCTCAGATCTACAAAAGGAAATCTTAGAAATATGTCCTGGCTTTGTTCCACTACCTATGTTGTCACAGAGACTGCATGAAATTTGGAATCAACCAATATACACCCAATTTAATTTTATACATTAATTTTCACACTGATTTCTTAATAACTTTCAAGTAGGAATTTAACAAATTTTCCCTTCTTTACTGGTGATCAGATACTTAGTGATACATACAGCAAGACTTAGTGGTACAGCAAGAAAGCTGAAGGTATTTAGGATAAAATAATAGTAGAAATCTCACTGGGATGTTGCCAAGGAATACTCAGGAATTGACTATAGGTGCTTGCATTTTCTTTAAGCACTTAGGGATGCCATCCATTTTGAAATGTCTTTTACCCACCTCATACACGTCTTTCTTTATTTGTTGAGGGGACAGATTGTTGATATGAGAATAAAGTCAGAGAATAAGACTTAGAATGGGCCAACTAGTCAAGTTATAAATTGTATGCATATTTGAAAAACGCTTTAATTCTCAGAACTAATCCCATGAAATATCAAGACTTCTAGAGTTCCCTTTCAGGTCTATTTCTTATGTTTTCTTCTGTGTTTCAGGTACCTTATGAAAGAGCCTATACTAAATGATGATCTTCCCAGTCGTCTACTCTATGGAGCAATCAAGGTGAAACCAAGAGTGAAAGAGCTCACAGAAACGTCTGCCATCTTTGAGGATGGAACAGTAGAGAAGGGCATTGATGTCATTGTCTTTGCAACAGGATATACATTCTCCTTTCCCTTCCTTGAAGATTCACTTGTGAAAGTAGAGAATAATATGGTTTCACTGTACAAATACATGTTCCCTCCTCAACTGGAAAAGTCAACCCTTGCATGCATTGGCCTCATCCAACCCCTAGGTTCCATTTTTCCAACTGTGGAACTTCAAGCTCGTTGGGCAACAAGAGTTTTTAAAGGTAAGTAAATGCCTGAGGTTTTCACTTCTAGTAGAATTTTCCCCATAACAATTTTGGATAAGAAAGTTGCCAAAAAGGAGGTTGCCAGCCTTGGCTGCTTTCACTTTTTAAAATCTTAAAAAGTGAGTGGTAGATTTAGAAAATAGCAAATAGTAACATGTGGTATAATAAACATCTGCAATCATTCCTTTACAATATTTAAAAGTTTTGATTGGCATAAAGTCAAGTACATGTTATCCTTTCTTTGTGTCATAAGAGCACAGTTAAGAAAAACATTTATGACTCCTGATACTGCTCATATGATGTTTATAAATTCCTCCCCTAAGGATATAATCTTCTTGACTCCAGGGTTCAATTCAGCTCAATAAAAACACATTGAACACTTAACCCCATGCTGGTGGGATAGAGTGAAATTTAAACCAATCTTAACATAAAAAGACAAATGCTTGATAGAAGCATGCATGGAGTGGATGGGAAAGAGAAAAAAGGGTCTTCACAACATAACAGTGGGGTAAGGGAGAGTTCATGGTCGGGAAAGTTTCCCTGATGGGTGGGTTTCTCAGGGGCATAATCCCTTGAGCCTAAGCATAGTTTCCCTAGATGTTGAGAATTATAAGATACTTAGCATTCCTACATGACATGTGAAGCTGAGAGGGTGAGAGATCATTCTTGAAGAAGGAGCCAGGACAAAGGAACTTGGAAAGTATACTAAAGAGCTTGGGGGGTGGTGGTGGGGAATGTAAATTAACGCCTTCAAAATCTGACTACACATAAAAATCATCTGGTGGACCCTTAGGGAACCTGAGTAAGGAAGCCTGACTTGAATACCTAGAATCTTCATTTTTAGAAAGTTTTCAGAGGCCCCAGTGAAGGGTTCAAAGCAAGAACCAGATTTACATTTTTTTTAAATTGTGTCAACACCAGTGTGGAGGAAAATTTTGAAAGGAGAGAAGGAAGCCTCAGAGGCCAGGAAAAAGGCTACTATAATAGTTTATAACAAACTATGAATGGAACTGAGCCTGACAGAGACAGAGAGACCAGGATCTAAATATGAGCATCATGATGCGGGGAAATTAGAGAAAGAAAGAGGAATAAAGGATAAGTTGTTGCTCTCTGACCATGAGAAGTGGATAACAGTAGTGCTGTGAATAAAGAGGGAAGAAGAATGAACCTTGACAGGAGGGTTTCAATGAGGAACTCAGATAATTCCTCCAAGGAATTTCACAATGTCCTTGGTTTCCCTTTGCAAGGCTTGAGAAGTCAATCTCCTCTCTGAACCCCTCCTATTCTTTCCCCTCAGTGCCTACTGACCTTAGTTCTTGAACTCTCTGTGGATGTTCTGGCACTTCACAGCTTATTCAGAGCATCTGGATTTGTCTAGAAGCACTTATCAGTCTTTGCCTTAAAGTCTTTTTCAAAGGAGAGCATGAGTCTTGCCTCTCTAGTCCACCGTGTTGTGTCATGAGCTCAGTTTGGGACTCTTTGAACTGAGATGTCTGATAACTAGCCAGAGGAAACTGACCCCCCCCCTTTTTTTTTCTTTATACAGGCCACATTGGTTTACAACACTGTATAAGATTTAGGGGAATGAGTTTACACCTTTTTTGACATTTGTCACCACACCATACTCACTGTGGGTTCCCCATCATCCTTTACCCAGGCCACTGGGCCACCTCTCCCTTTTGTTCCTACCTTCACCCTCCTTTCCCTTCTAGCAATGTCAATTCTGCAGTCATATTTCACAAATTTGTTTTAGTTTAATTTTTCAGAACTTATCATTTTTCAGCTTATTTGAAACTTATTGGACAGGGGACAAAATCATATACAAACCACAATTCTTACATGAATTTACCTTCTCCACCCCCACTACTCTGTATTAGTTTGTTCTACTCTGTCTCTCAACATCTCTTAACCTGTCTTAAAACTCACCTGCCTGGAGCTTATTTTCTGCAACTCAACATCTAGAGGGACCTTTCCAAGGCAAGACAGATCTTGTCACCACCTGCAGAAAATCCTGCAGCTTCCCATCACCTTTGCAAAAAATCTCCAGTCACCTGGCATGGCTTCCCAGCTCACAAGCTCATCTTCCTTTTCAAGCTCCTTCTATTACTCTTCTGCACCCCAGAGTTCATGCTATAGGCTGTGCTCCAAGGGTTTCATCATGTAGAACTCAATGAGTGTGGTGCCCCTGGAGTTCAACAGCAGTGTAGCCCTGACTGTTTAGGCAAAAGCTCAGAGTTTAGCCATAGTAATTAACTCCTAATTAAAGCAATGATGTTTGACTCAAACCCACTACTTAACCAAGCTCTGTTTTTCTAGGCTTGTGCACACTGCCCTCAGAGAATACCATGATGTCGGACATTATCAAGAGGAATGAAAAGAGAATTGAACTGTAAGAATTGTTTTTACAAAACTTCTTGACATCAAGTATATTGATCTAACTCCCTATAAGAGACACCTAACTGCTTATTAAAAATACAAGTTCCTAGTCTACAACCCAGATTTTGTGAATCAGAATCTCCAAATGAAAGTAGAAAATGTGGGTTGTGTTCTTCCTCAGTGATTGTTTCGCATACTAATTTTAGGGCAACTACTTAAAGATAGAAACTTTACCAATGCAGAATATTTTTCCTTAATATCATTTCACTTCAGTTTTGTATGATGTCTGTGTTAGATTCCGTATCTTCTCAAGCCACCCACATTCTATAGTAAAAGGGGGCATGGTCTGGATGTCATATGTCTGGAAAGTTAACTGGGGAATCTCCCTTCAAATTACATTAGAAAGGTGTTAATGAGAAGTGAAGGTTCAGAATTTGTATTTTGTAATGTGGTGAAATGGAGTTCACTGGTAGTCATGTAGAGTTGACTTCTACTTTACCTATTACTTACTAAGTATCTACTGTTGGTCAGCTAGAAAGCTTGGTACCTTAATAATTTTAACAGACAAATAGTAAGCACCTCTGTGTAGGACACTGAGCAAGCACACTGAGCAAGGCTTTCTTCTGTATTACCTTATGAATCTTTGCAGCAATCTGTGGCTTTCCTCTATATTACCTCATGAATCTTTGCAGCAATCCAGAGACATCTACGCCAGCCTAGAAACATGAAGCTGCCATTTAGTAAAAATCAAGTGGTACTCATGGCTATGAATTTTATCCATTCTTAGAACTTCCATGAGCTCATGGCTTTTTATTTTTCAGTCTACTCTCAATCTGATGAGATAAATTGGCATTTCCCACTGAAGCTCCATTCAAAACTCAGCTATTCAGTCACTCATTCCTTCATTCTTCCGACACCTATTGAATGTCTGATCTGTAAACCTGCCCATTTTACTTTTTCATTAAGGTTTGGAGAGAGTCAGAGCCAAATATTGCAGACCAATTACATTGACTACTTGGACGAGCTAGCCATGGAGATAGGTGCGAAACCAGACCTCCTAGCACTCTTCTTACAAGATCCAAAACTGGCTGTGAAACTCTATTTCGGACCCTGCAACTCCTATCAGTACCGCCTGGTTGGGCCTGGGCAATGGGAAGGAGCCAAGAGTGCCATCCTCACTCAGAAACAAAGGATACTGAAGCCTTTAAAGACAAGGTCTCTGAAAGCTCCATCAAATTCCCCAGTTTCATTCCTGTTGAAAATCTTGGGGCTGTTTGCTGTGGTTGTGGCTTTTTTTTTTCAACTTCAGTGGTTCTAATTTATTAACATAAAGCTTTTATTGTTATTCCAGTATGTCTTAAAGAAAAAAACTAAAAGAATAAAGCTGAGAAAATGGCCATATTTCTTCTATGTTGAGAGAAACCCTGTTATAAAAATATAAATGAGTAGGTCATAATAGTTCTCTCTATATTTGCCATTTATCATTGTGTTATATGCGCATTATATCTACTATTTCCTTTAATTCTCACAATTCAGCAAGATGGTTACAGTTATCACACACATTTTTAGATGATGAAACAGAGACTCAGAACAGTTGGGTAACATGTCCAAGACCACACAGCTAGTCCTGGGATTGGAACCAGGTTAATTTGAGTGTAGAACTGAAAATAACCTCAACCCCAAAACATACTAACTCATAAAAATCTGTGTTGTTGATAAAGAAATTGCTAACAATTATTTTATCTTTAATCATATTTATGTTACTTTGTGGGGAGCTTTCCATTAAAAAAAATCTCTTATAACAAATATGATCTGGTTGATTATATTATAATTCTCGATTTATATTTCAGCTAGATCAAAAAAATTGCATTTGAAAGAGTTTCCAATGAAAAAAAGCCTTTTTTTCTTTTTTAGAATAAATTTCAGATAATCATTGAGGGTCTGAAAAATAAGCATTGAGGAAGAAAATTCTATCTGCCAGGTAGATGGAGACCATAGTAATAATTGAGTCTTATATCTAGTGTGACCTTATTGTTAAACAATATGTAGTCTTTGTCATCTGACTAAAGGAAGAATATCATTTTGTTAGAAGAAACAAACATTTTCTTGGAACTGAAGTCTAAAAAAGTCCCAAACAGTCCAATGTCAATAGACATTAAGCAACATGATAGATAAACAAAAGGCTGTAAAACATTCATTCTTTGCACTAACTGAACTGGAGGAGATAAACTTTTCCAGGAGTCCAGACCAAAGTCATCCAAGAGAGGAGAAAGGTCATAAGTAAAACATTTAGGTAAAATTTTCCTTTCATTCCTCCAGAATCTTCATAGACATTGTTCTTCATTGTAGCCTGGATTTCTCTCTCAAAGGCCTAGAACAATGTGATAGCAATCTGTCAGAGTTTATTGAAATGACACCAGATTTAAATGCAAGATTTTATTTTTATTTTCATTGCTCCTATAAGATGCTTGAGCACAGAGAAGGAGGGGGGAGAGATTACAAGTGGTGTATATACTTAGTTCCTAATTTAAAGACATTACTAAATAGTCAATTATTTGAAAGACATTATATTAATAATAATAATAGAATTTATGAAGCCTTTACAGCAAGAGTATGCAAATCTACTGCCGGAGTGTCAAATCCAGTATACTATCTCTTTCAGCAAATAAAGTATTATTGGAACACAGCCATATCCATTTATTTGTGTGCGTCTGCTTTCAAGCTAACATCTCCCTGAGCTGAGTAGTTGCAACAAGAAAAGATTGTGACTCACAAAGCCTGAAATATTTACTGTTTGATCTTTTACAGAAAAGGTTTGCCAGTCCCTGCATTGTAATGTGCATCATGCTATTTGTTTTTAATAGCTTGCCTCATTAATAAAGTACTAGCTAGGGTGATTTTATTCTACTTGTGTAGTGGTCAAGATTGAAAAAGAATTTTCAGGTAAATGTTGAATTAGTGAGGAAAAAAGAGCTCCTTCAGGAAAATTATTATTAAATTTATATTCTTGAAAATTTTAAAAAGAGGATGTCTTGAAATCTTTCCCACTAGTCTGCTTTTTGAAAATATCACTGGCTCATCTCCTGAGTCTGATATTACCTGATATTACCTAAGAAAGACTAATTTGAGTTGATTCTCCCCCTCCATGGGGACTGAAATGTGAAAATATTGACAACAAATCACCCAAGACAGTTTATTACAAACTACGACCCGCAAAGAGTATCTCAGGAAGTATGCAGAAGCACTGAGTCCTGAATCCAAACGTAACAGTAATTCAGGCCAGCTGGAATTCTACTTATGACAAACTCCCTGGAAGCTGTGCATAATCAAGATCCACTTCTGCATCCTGGTCTCAAAAAATAAAGCTAACTTCACAGACTAGTCCTTGACTTTTTCCACTCTTCAGGACCAAGTTCCGCCTCAGTTTCAGTCTTTGTACTTCTTACTACATTTATACCAATTACTCTTCTCCCATAAAGAATGTTAATTCGATGGTTACTACTCTCCTCCAAAATCTTCCCCTGAGGTGGTTGCTTTCATTAACCTTTTATTCTGGCTATTCTTCTCTATGTGATAATTATTGATTTTCCTAATCAAAATCCAAACATGTCATATTTGTTCTTTAAAGAAAATAAGCTCTTTTAAATTAAAGCACTGGGGACTAGTTACCATTCACCTCTTCCTAGTTAATTCCTCTACTATTCTTCCACTACCCCATCCCCTTCCCTCTGGGAACCCCCATTTTGTTATCTACAGTTTTCTTTCTTTCTTTTTTTTTTTTACTCTGTTTCTTTATCTTCTACATATGAAATCATTAACGTTTGTCTTTCTCCTCTGACTTATCTCACTTAGGATAACCAACTCAAGATCCATCCATGTCATGGCAAATCACAAGGGTTCATCCTTTTTTATAGCAGAGTAGAAATCCATTTTCCATGTATATCACGTCTTCTTTGCTTTTTCCTTAATTTCCCTGGTTAGTCCTTTGTTATTTCCACAACCAACTAGAGAACACAGGTGTGCCTTCCCTATATCCCAAACCTTCCCTAGAAGACCAGACTTGAAAGTGTCTACGAAAGTAACAACCAACAGGTGTCGTGGTATTTTTGTCTCCTGCTAAATTTTGCACCCTCCTCAGAAAACTTCCGTTCCTCCAGACTCCCTCCATTGCTGAGTTTCTCTGCACTGGTTATAACTTTTCAGCCTTACTCCTCAAACCACTGTCTCACCAATCTAAAAAGACTGCTGCAACTGGGTTCCCTTCACACTGTTTGCTGTTGTTTTCCCTGCCTTAATAGGTGACAGCCATCTTTTTTGCAATGCAGGTGAACTGCTATTCTTCATCAAATTTTCCCCAGTCTTTCTAGCCAAAATACATCTCTGCTGCCTCTTTATTACCAACATATGTTGTTTTAATTCTGCAGTAATGTTTACGTTCTTGCTTCTACTATCAACTTATTTTTACAATCCATAGAGAAGTCATTGCAGCTTCTGGGGTTTTTTTCTTATCTGAGAACAAATAAGGAATTAAATGCTCACTAATGTCCATTAAAAAGACTATTAATGACCCTACATAGCTTCCTTACTGCCTGTGTATATTTGGGGAAAGGGTTTTTAATTGTAACTAGTAAAAAGAGAGTGTAGTGCTAGACATTCCTATACTTTGAGCTGCAAGTCAGTAGAAAATTATTAATTCTATAAAAGCATCAGTTTTTTGGTATTGAACCACTTCAGATTCTAGCAACCTAAGTAATTATATAAAATAGGAGGGCCTGTTGCATCGGGCCCTCCCTGGTGCAACAGGTTAGGATGTGGCACAGCAAGCTTACCACAGATGCTTTAGTGCAAATTCAATCCCTAGCCCCAAAGGTGATCCACAGACCTCTCCTGACCTACCTGATGCTACCTTCAGCAATGTGCTTTGTCCATCTGCCTGTTCTGCTCCCTACTCTGTTTCTGGTGAAGCCTCTCAAGGCCCTGCACCTCTGGCCTATACTCCAGTTCTGTATACATAAATAAATCTTAAAAAAAAAAAATAGTAAGTCATCACTTAGTGATTATTTATTATGTTCTAGATGGTATAAAAGAAGTTCAGTTTTATTTCATTATATTTTATCCCCCTAATCCATTTTATGCATCAGGTAACTGAGGATCAGAGTAGTTGAATGACTTTTCTAATTCATGTGGCTATTGGTGGGCCCAGCTGGGCTTTTCTAAAGCACTGACACTGAAGTCTGTGCTAAATGGTGATGTATAGAATAGTAATCAATTATATAAATCATTTATTTCTTCATTTGCCAGTGTCTCTCTTATATCCAAATAAAATATCATGTTCACTAATGTCCTCTCCCTATGCCAAAAACAGAATAGATCCCCAGGAGTACTAAAAGTTGATGAATTGCAAGTTGTCAAAGAAGACAACTAGATCAAATATATTTTGGTTCTTAAAAACCCACTTGAACTAACAGTGATCCTGTAGGCTTGCTTCCTGTGAAACTATTCAAATGTTATCATATTCACAGTTGACAGAATGTAACTGAACTTCAGAGCTAACAGTGCTGTCTCCATGCCAAGTCTTTTAAACTTTACAATGTGGTAATACTTTAATAAACTTTACAGCATAGTAATACTATATGGAAAACCAAGGGAAAAAGGACTTATTCTTCTAAAACCTTCCCCCAACCTTTAGCCTTACCAATCTGTCCTGGAGTTTACTTTTTCTGCCCATGGGTACCACTTCAATATAATAAAGCAATCATGAGAACACCTTATATTGATGGTGAATTCTGATGATATCACTTTTAGGTGGAATGTAAAGAAACAAAGCAATAGAATAGGAAAAATTAAACCAAAACAAACCCTAGCAATCTGACAATAGGAGATGGCAGGGAAAGCCCAATGGTATATTTGGGAGGAATATGGGTTCTTTGAGGTGGGTGTGGTGTCATAACAGATCTAAATCATATGCAGTATTATAAACCAACATTACCTGAATAGAAAAGGTACAATTAAAATATGAAATAAATAAAATAAGTAAATAAGAACTTCTACACTGAACACCTTGCAAGATACCTAGTTAATATCCAATAAGCAAAAAACAAAATCTTAGTATAAGTAATCCCAAATATTGTATGGAAAATATTTATACTAAAAAAAAAGAATGCTGATTTGAAATTCAAAAAGAAAATTAAAAACAACTTACCTGATCAGTCATGAGATGACCACCATTATCATCATCACCTTCCTGGCCATTCAAGCAAGCTTACTATGGGCAAGAATTTCTACATAAAATATCTCCCTTCATTCCCACCAAACCACCTGAGGCAGGTATGGCTGTGCCTATTTTACATAGAAGAAACTGAAGCTTTAACAAGTTTTATCATTTTTCCAAGATTCTGTCAACTGGTGAAAGCAACACTTGGACAAAGGACTTGTGACTCCAAAAGTAATGTCCTCCCTTAAATTTGTCAGATTTCCCAAGTGCCCAGGCACTCAGGTGTACTTAAAAAGCCTTTAAACCTTAAACTGAATAATGTGGGTGATGTGCAACTTAAAAATAATAATGATTTTCTTTAAGTGTGACATGGATCAAAGCCCTTGAAAATGAATCTTTGTGTAGCAACTGATGATGTGATTATCTTATTTTATCCTCCTTCCTTTGAAGAGTGAGGTTGATAAACCATGAAGATGCTGAGACTGCTGCCTAAACTTCCATTTCTAGTTTGCTGAGAGAAAATGAGTCTAAAGTGCACATCACCAGCATGTCTTTAACATTGCTCTGTTGCAATCATTCAAGTTAAAGTGTACACAATGGTTAATCGTGGGTTCCAAATTCTGCCTGACAGTCCTTCTCTCTTAGACCAGGTCCATCCTGTGTGCTGGGGAACTCCTGGCCCACACTAATACATTTTAATTTCTGCTACCACCAGAGTCCTAATTGTGGTGAGGTCCAGGGCTCCAGGAATCCCAAGTGTGTAAGGTAAGTAACCAGATATAATATCTAATGCTTTTGGATTAGACTTTTCCTGATTTGTCATAGTATCTATGACCTTGGAGGAGCAATAAAGCCCCTCCCAGCCTCAAAGTACAAAGGATAGTAAATTCTTAAATCGTTGTAAAAAGACAGTGACTTGGTTATAACCAAGACTTCTGTGTACAGGTAAGTCCACCACTGGGTCGATCATTAAGCAGTTTATCAAAAAAGGGAAAACTTGAGTTACTAAAGCAAAGTCATTTTTCTTAAGTGCTTCCATTAATTGCTTCTAACAAGCTGTCAGACAGTGGTTTGGGGTTTGTCTACCAATGGTTGGCATTTGACACAAATTGAGAAAAAAGCAATGCCCCTTCAGAATTTACTTTATATTGTTATCTTGTCCTATTTTCTGTAGTTAAAAGAACTCTATTCTATATGCTTTATAACATTACTAGTTTTCATACTGTCAGATACTTTTGTCAATCTCACGGCCATCTGAATTCTCAACATGATAAATTTCAAGGGTTTTGAAGCTCTAAAGATACCCAGTTCAATGCTACCTGCTTTACAGATAGAAAAACTGAGCCTCAACCCATAGTTATTTCTTAGTTTCCCCTCCAGAGAACATTGTGGATTTGGAGCCTGCTGTTTGTTCTTGTGGTTAGGAATAAGCTTGGGAAGGTGGGACAGTTG